ATGGACTGAGCAGAATGGAGTCTCGGAGAGCACCCGTGTGAGAACCAGCGAGGACCGGGACTTCTAGGCTGGTGGATGGAAACGCTCCCTGACCTTCCCGCGGGTGATTCGGAAAACCACAGTCAAGCCCAGTAGACTTGTCACGCTCCATCCCCAAGTTCCACTTCCGGGAAGTCTCTCCAAGGAAGTCAGCAGACAAACCGTCAAATATGTGAGGAGGGACGGGCGCCCCGTCATTTACAGTAGTAAACAAGTGGGGGACCCCAGTGAGCAGTGAAAGGGCGTGGCTACATGAATTGGGGGGCGTGCGGAACGGCCCTGCGCAGCCAAAGCCACACCTATGTCTGTGGGCTGAAGAAATGAATGTGCATGAGATAACAAGAGTAAAAATATGTGATTTCAGCTCTCTGCCCCTTTTTCCTTTAATTAAAATTTGCTATAGGGTGCATGCATTCACTGGAGAGAGAGAGAAAGACAGAGCGAGAAAATCCTCCGCACACACCTCCCCACCCCCCACCCCCGGCCCAGAGAGCGATGGCCATACCACGGCCCCTTCTCCTCTCAGGACTTTGGGCACGCATTCACATGCACCCGGCATATTTTCCAGGCTGCCAGGATTGGTCCAGGATTTGAACCTCACAGAAATCCATGTGGGATCCAGCTGCCTTAACCACCACATCACTGGCTGGCCCTCTTTGTACCTTTCTGACATAATTATTGACAATTCTTTTTAAAACGAGTAGCTATTACTCTTTTCTTATGCTAGAGAGCGTGTGCACACACATGCAAGAGAGCGAGAAATACTCTCTCGACGGGGTCTCATCATGCCAGGACCCACTCCCCAGCTCTGCAGCTCCCGGGATCCCAGGCATATGCCCAGCATGGTCAGGTCGACCTGGGGATCCGAACCCGTGTTTGCTATGGTTTTCAGCCTTGCAGGGCGCTTGCATTCCCAACGTGCTGTAGTGGCTGGGTTGGTGTTTCTTTTACAGTTAGAAATGACAACTCCATTTCTACAGTAGCTACAATAACTGTCCAACGGGAGGCAGTGAGTTCCCTGAGGGTGGAGGCTCTGAGTCTGAGGCTTTTGCTGGAGAGACTTCAGCTCTGACTGCAAATCTGTGCTCCTAAATTGCGTGACCGTGCCTACTCCTTTGACCACACCAGCTTCCGGTTCAGCTCTCACTGGGGGACATGATACCTACCCTGCAGGGCTGGGCTGGCTAAATGAGAAGGCACGACAGAGGCAAACACCTGGCACCTCAGTACCCGTGCCCTGTTACACCCTGCCCCCTACCCCCCTGCCCTGCCCCTCACCGCATGAGCTCCAGCAGGTCTTTGAACAGGGGCGTGCTGCTGAGGTCTTCCTCCACAGCGATGTCCCTAAGGGGACAACAGGCAGGGTGAGGAGGCAGCAGCTGGAAAGGGAACTTGGGGTGGCAGGGCGGGTGGAGGGCCCTCCCCGCAGTGTGCCACTAACTTGATGGTGCTGACGGTGTCCTCATAGTAGTAGCAGCGCAGCCAGTTGGTGAAGTCGTCCTCTTCCGAGAAGTCCTTGAGGATCTTCACGAAGGAGACGGGGAAGATGCCCGTGGCTCCCTGGGCAGTGCCCTGAGGAGGAGAAGGGGCTGCCTGGTCTGCAAGAGGAGAGGCAGCAAGGCCACACCCCAGAGCCCCAGCCCCATTACAAGGGTGGGCAAAGGCAGAGGAGTCCGGGTCCCCTCATGTGGAGAGAAGAGAGGACGTTCAACCGGCCATCCACCCCAAGAGACTGACTTTTCGGTTTCAGAACAGGTCAAGGTCTGAATTTAACTGAAAAACTACTTATCTCACTCACTCAGCTATTCTTTTTTTTTTTTTTGAGAGAAAGACTTTTGCTATAGGGCATGTGCTGCACTCGCCAGAGAGACAGAAAGCAAGAAATCACCCCCTAGGGGGATGGCTATGCTACAATCCTTTCTCCTCCATTCTCCTCCCGGGATCTTCAGCACGCGTGCACCTGGTGTGATCTTCAAGCCGCTGGGTCCAGGACTCAAACCCCTGTCAGCAATGTGGAAGTTTGGCAATGTAACTGCTACGCCATCTACCATCCCCAGGGCCACATCACAATCCCTTCTCCTCCATTCTCCCCTCGGGATCTTGGGCACGCATGCACACGTGCCTGGCATGAGTTTAAGCCACCAGGTCTGGGACTCGAACCGTAGTCAACTACATGGGAGTCCAGCAACATAACCATTATACCAACTGCTGGTCCCATGCAGGCCCATTTCATCCATTCATTTAACAAAGCACCAGCCAGGGCAGGATCTGGGCACCAGAACAGATCGCAGGCCTGTCCCATGGAGTTTCCACCCCAGGGGGCAGTGGCTGGCGATGCATGGGTAAGCAGGCAAGCCGCCCACATGTCAGACGGGGTAGGTCTTTAGGAGGAGAATAGAATGGGGGAGGAAGAGAATGGGGACGACCTGGCCTGCCACGCGTCCCACTCATTCATTCCACGGCTCCCACCGAGCCCAGCTCCAGACCAAGCTGCAGGAAGCTGTCTCCAGCCCAGGCCTCTCCCAAATGCCAGACCGAGGCCCGGCCTGCTCTGCTCTGTGCATGCGCTCTCTGCATCGTCGCAGCAGTCCCGTGGAAGACTGCGTAGGTGCCCTCTCATGGATGCATAAACTGAGGCACGAAGCGGCCACCTCCTTATTCCCGAGTCCTCTCCAACCTGAAGCCAGAAGCTGGCCAGAACACAGATGGACAGAGCTTTCCAGAAAACAGGAAGGCAACAAATGTTTCCTGTTTCTGGACAGTGACCTAGAGATACCCCTCAGGCACTGGGAGGGCTGCTGAGTTTGGGGACAGCTTCAGGACTGGGTAAATAGAAAACTGCTGAGTCAGTGAGACCTGCTGCCAGTTGTCCCTCTCCAGTCTCTGGACACCAGGGAGGGACCGGGACCCCGGGGCTGGCCCAGCCTCTGGCCGTGTCTCAGAAGCTCCTTCAGACACCCACCCAGGAGCGCTGAGTAAAACCTCGTTTACTGTCAGCAGGGCCTCCTACCCAGGCCAGGGCCTCCACGCTACGGTCTCCCGTCTCCACTCATGGAGCCCTTCCTCAGGCCACACTGGGACAAAGAGGTGACCAGGACAGCCCTGGCTCTGAAGTCTCAGTAGGCCTCCCGAGGTGCTCGTGCACACCTCCCGACTTTCTGTGGGCAAGCCCTGCTCCTCTCACCTCCTTCCAGCCTTCTAGGAACCCTTGGAAGAAGTGTCGACGGCAGAGGAAAACGTGGGTGGAACAAGTCTCCAAAGGCCCACAAAGCCCGTCCAACTCAGAGCTAGTAAGTGGCCCAGTCTGACTCTACAGCTCACTCCGGATTGCGAGCTTCCATGTTCCTGCAGGGTCGAGCCTGCTGTCCCACGCGGTAGACCAGCTGGGGTGATGTCGTCTCCTAGAAGCCTGTGTCTGGAGACCTGACTGCTGGTCACAACTGAAGAGTCTCTACTGGCATCTGATGCGGGGACCAAGGGTGTGCTCCACAGACACTGCCTGGGGGGCCGCTGGCAGTCACCCAGCTGCAAAGGTCCCTAGTGGGAACCCCTGCCCCACACCAGGAGACGGAACTCAGCAGGCTCACCTCCTGGCCTGAAGCAGCCGGCTTGTCCGGGTCAGAACCAAAGGCGGGTCTGTGGGCGCCAGAATCTTCTGCTCCTGCCACAAACCTGCCCCCGCAGTGGCCGTGTCCCCGACCTGCCCGGATCTCCAGGACTGTGCTCAAAAGGTGGCTCTTCCCTGAGGCCTTTCTGACCTCTCCTCTGTCTCTGCCCACGCCCAGAAGCCACCCCTCTCACCTCCATCCTCATCTTCACTCTCACCTCTAACCTCTCCCCGACCTCACCTCCATCCTCCCCTCCCACCTCACCTTCACGTCACCTCTCGCATCTGCAAGTCCACCCTCACCTCCAGCCAGTCTTTGTTGATCCGACTGAGAAGGAAGATCACATCTCCGGCTTTGAAGCTCAGCTCCAGCTTGCTGTTCCCGGTGAAGTCGAACAGGGCCTGGGGAGAAGCGGTGTGGGGAGGGAGGAAGCCTTCCATGAGTCCCCACCGAAGCGTCTACTACTCCAGTGCCCCATTTCACAGATGAGGGAGCTGAGGCTCGGAGAGAGTGACTTGTCTGAGGCCACTCCATTTGTTACTGGAGGGGCTGGGATTTAATCCCAGTCTCCCTGACTCCAAGTGGGGGTCCTGGCCAGACCGGGAGGGGTGCACACAGGGAGAAGGACCTGAACCTTCTGGATGAGCCTGTTCCCTGGCACTGGCCTCACTGCAGGCTGCAGACCTCCCATAACTCCCAGCGACTGACTCCCAGGGCACTGCCCGTTGGTTTTGACGTACCCGTTTGTGAGCATGTCCCAGGGGCCGTGAGCATCGTGAGGACAGGGCCTGCCCACAGGAGGCCTGAGCAAGCTCACTGGATGGGCGGGCGGGTGGTCACATCCTGCCTCTGCGCCTAGTCACCTGCCTCCCCTCAGCTGGCTAGGGGCCCTGGGTCAGAAGCATCCCCCAGCACCCACCGCCATCCCAAGCACACAGCAGCACCCCGCAGGAGGACCTCAGGGGATGCCCAGTGGATGGAGCACAGCTGCACCCCACGTGGGGAGGGGAGCTGCCGGCAGGGGTACCTCTGCTCTCGGAGCCGCCATGCGGTCAAAGCCGGCGCCTTGTGGGGACACGCTCTTGCTGTGGAGAGAAGAGCAGCTTGTCAGCTCTCCCCGCACTCAGAGGCTGTGACAGCGCAGCACCGTTGCCGGGAGTGGGGGCAGCACGTGTACCCCCTCACTCACGACGGCCACTCTGGGGTGGGACTGTGCTGTCCTCATGAACCAGGAAGCAGATGCTTGGCAAGGGGGTGGGAAAGAGGGCCCCCCAACTCACCAAGCCTTTCACATGCGTAAAAGCACCTGCTCCCACAGCCAGCCTCTCAGGCAGAGGGTTTCTAGCTGAGGAGCTGAGGCGGAGGGAGGCAGCATGCCCCATCCCAAGGCCCCAGCTGCCGTGTGACACGGCTGGAATTCAGACCGTGCCACCTGGGTGACCAGGGGAATGCTGGGCACAGAGAAGGGAGAGGCACCTAGGGGTGCTGGCTGGAGCACGGATGGGGTCCAGAGGGCGCCTGGGCTCAGAGCGACCCTGTTCCGCAGGAGTGCGCAGCAGCGCCCCCTCGGCTCTGGTGGCCCAGCACTACCCCGGGGCTTGGACCCTGGGTGACCATTCTCTCTTAGGCGGGGCTGGAGGAAGTGCTGGGCTCTTTGGAATAAGGGAGCAGCAGCGTCCCCTGGAGGCCAGTGGTATATGGCAGCCAGCCTAGGGAAACAACCCAGGGAGCCGCTCAGGAGGTGTGTGCCCACTGAGGGGCTCTCCCCTCCCCAGCTCTTGCTCTTCGCAGACACCCAGAGCAGGGTTCCCCGTGGCTGCGGTGGTGCCAAACCCTCCAGGGTCAACATCCCGGTCCCTGTCCTCCAGTCCTTTCTGCCACACACCCTTGGACTTTTCAGGCTCATTGGATCTCTCAAAGCACCCTGGTGTATTCAGGGCTGGGACAGAACGCTCTCTCTCCTTCCAGCAAGGCCCAGGCCCGGGCTGACTCACACTTTCCGGGTGCGTGGACGGAGCCTGCGGAGCGCCTGTGGCACCTGCTCAGCGTCATACGGCGACTGGTAGAAGAAGATCCGCACGTCCTCGTCCATCAGCACCCAGACCGGCAGGCTGAGGAGGCTCTGCGAAGTGAGGGCAGAACGGGGTGGTTGGAGAAGGGCCCCCAGTCCAGCCCAGCGCTGTGCTGCGCCCTGGCTCCGACTCAGTCCCTCTCTCCCTGCTAAGGCGTCTTATGCCTGAATACAGAAAGAAGCTACTACAGACAGAGAGGGACTCTGCAGGCTGACGGGGACATTCACACACTGCACTCGTGGGTCCCGGGTCAGGAAGGGGACAGTGGCTTGTGAGAAGCTCATTTGGAAAAGACCTGCAGGTCCCCAGAAGTGACAGTAACAGGGATGACAGGTGCATGACCTGGGGTGATGGTGCCGGAGCTGCACTGAGACAGCATGAGTGTCCTCCCCCCACCCCACAGTGGCCCGTGAGTCAGCACTACAGGTCAAGGAGACTGCCCAAGGCCACACAGCCTTGGGTGGCAAGTGGCGGAGGTGGACCACCCAGAGCCATCTGCCGCTAGAGCCCACCCTCAGCTCAAGCAGAGACAGCGGTGGGGAAAGGCGCTCCCCGAGTGACCCAATTAACGAGCCAGTGGGATGTGGCTGTAGAACGCTCCCGGGGCCAGGAGCTGGTGCGGCAGTAACACTCTGCCGCGCTGGACCCCGAGGAAGGTCCTGGGCTCGCGTCCCGAGGCCTCCCTGCACACTGGGTGTGTGTGCCAGGAACAGGGCCGGCTGAGGCTGGGGTGGATGGCGGCATGATGACCTTGATGAGGTGCCTCTCTCTCAACCTCTCTGTGGAAGAATGAATATACTTAAAAAAAAAAATAAAATAAGAACTGTTTCTTGATGTTCCTCTCCAAATCACAGCTGGGGAAACTGAGGCTCAGAAAAGGAAGGTGCCTGGCCCGGGGGCAGAGCTAGGGTATGGTAGGGACCGCCCTGAGCTGGTTACAGCCACTCAGATGCAAAGACCCTATGGCTGTGAAGACGGGTGTACCCAGAGCCTGAGGGCCGTCCGCCAACCCCATTCCCCAAGGCCTCCCAGGAGCACTGAGCACTTCGGGTGCTGTGGGTCCTGAGGGACCCATAGCCCTGCAGTTCCCACAGGGCAGCAGGTGGGGAGGGGCAAGTCTGAAGGGCCCCAGAGAAACCGGGAGTATGGGGGTAGGGGTAAGCTGGATCGAATCCCAGCTCTGCCACCCTCCGACTGGGTGACGTTGGGCAAGTGTGGCCCCAGATGCCTGTTACCAACATGAGAACAATTACAGCACCTACGGGATTGGAGGGTGGAATAAGCAAATACACCTGCTGCTCCCAGCATGGCCCGGACAGAGGGGTGCCCACGAGCGCGCGATCCTCTCACAGGGCTGTGACTTTCACCACAGCAGGGCGTGGAGGGCAGGGTCGCACCTGGAGCTGCAGAAACGTGTGTCCTCATCCCGGCCCTCCTCCCCAGCTGCCCTGTGACCCGGAGCCGCTTCATCTCTGCCTCCACCTCCTCGTTTGCACGGGATGGTCGTATCTAACTCACGCGGCATCGGGAGTGGGGGGTGGGCGAGACTATGCACCTAGCCACACGGCTCTGCCAAGAGCCCCTGGCTGCAGGCGGGCACTCGACATGGCTCCAGCCTTTCACTGTTACCCGGTGACTCATAATGTCCTTCATGAGGACAGAGGTGACCAGTGGGTGGAAGTTACCGGCCACTGGACTTCGTTTTGTTTTACCCTGGGGTACATGCATAGGAGAGAGATAGAGAGAGGGAAAGTGAGAAATTGCCCCTGAGGGGGGATGGCCATGCTGCACCCCTTCTCCTCTGTCCTCCTCGGGATTTGGGGCAAGCACGCACACATGCCCAAACTGCTGGGTCCTGGGTTTGAATGGTTCAGTCAGCCATGCGGGATCTAGTGCCTTAACCACCATGCCACCTGCTGGCCCATTACAGTCCTTTTTAATAGCTGCCCAATGAGGCCAGCAGCCTGGGCCAGGGCATGGTGGTAGTGAGCTCCCCATCTCTGAAGGTATGTAAGCACAGGATGGGGTTGCCAGAGCAGAGATTCCTGCCATGGCTGAGCTCTGGCTTCCAGGAACCCGTCAGACACAAACGAACAGAGACAGGACCCTCTGGGTGCCGGCGAAGACCAGCTGTGGGATGCAGAGCCCCAGCTGTGCAGACTCTTGCAGGCTCTTTCCCCACCTTCTCTCCCACGACCCTCTTCCAGCCTGGAGCCTTCAGCCACCCAGAGGAAGCAGCTGTACAGTGCCCCCTAGAGGGGAGATGCCGCTGGTGCTGGAACCCACCAGGTTCCCTCTCTACCTCTTCCCTGCTCAGAGCCCAGGATTCCTACAAGCCCCCTGCCCTCTCCTTGCCCTCCCACCTGCTCTGCCTCCTCCTGCCCCTCCCTAGGGCCACCAGGAGTCGAGATCTCACCTTCCGGAAGCAGGTTCACAGTTTACAAGGCACGTTCCCATCCTTTTCTCAGTGGGTTCCAACTTCACTCCCAGAAGACCAGGGCTGGAGGCACAGCCCCAGCTCACAGGTGAGAAAACTGGGGTTTGTAGAGGATGGCCATGCACCCCATTACCCAACCAACGTCAAAGCTAAGACCAAAGGGACTAGCTCATGGGGCCAGCAGATAGCATAGTGGTTACGTCACTGGACTCCCACGGGGCCGGTTGTGGTTCGAGTCCCAGACTGAGCGGCTTGAAAATCACAATGAGCAAATGTGCGTGCCCAAGATTCCAGGAGGAGAGTGGAGGAGGAGGGACTGTGGCATGGCCATCCCCCAGGGCGATTTCTCACTTTCCTTCTCACTGTGTCTCTCTCCAGCCGAGCACACGCGCCCTAAGGCAAAAACTTCTGTTTTGTTAAAAAAGAGACCAGCTCAGTGCTCTTCAGCCATGAGGCTGTCCCTGGGCTTGCAGGCCCTGTGACAGGGAGCTCACTACCTCACGGGGGACTGTTTCTTTCTTGGGTGGCTCTGATTGGTGGAAGTCCTCCCAGCACCCTCACTTCTTGCAGAAGTGCAGACAGTCTGCAGATCAGGGAGTACATGAGGGCACCCAGCCAAGACCCATGACAGCCGCAAGGATCCAGCGTGGGCTCAGGCACCAGCACGCCAGCCCGGAGGGGACTTTTCTCCAGTCTCCACAGAGGCGCTGCCTGAGCCAGCCGTGGCTGGGCACCCGTGGCCAGTCCTGTAGGCACGTACATGCCTCTGTGTGACTCTCAATCTCCCCACCGGGCAGTGGGCACCTCAGCAGGCACTGGCTGGCACAGACATCTGCCCGTGGGACAGACATGGGACGTGGGACGTGGGACATAGAGCATTGAACGAGGGTGTGCCCTTCAGAGTGCGGCCCCCGTGCCATCCCCAGTCCAGGAACCCTGGGGACACACCCCATTTCTCTCCCCTGGCCAGGCCCGTCAGAGCCAGCGAGCCAGCCAGTTCCGAAAGCCATGCCGCGAGT